GGCAAGAGATTTTGATGGTTTATCTGTTTTAAGTCATTTGACCACAACTAGTGGTGGAGTTGCCATTTTATTCTCTAAGAACTTTATTCCCTGTTCTTATCAGGTTGATGAAATTATAAAAGGTAGACTTTTAAAAGTTATAGCTTCCTATGAAAATCGTTCTTTTGTTTTTATTTGTGTGTATGTCCCAAATAATGCATTAGAAAGAATGATTTTTCTAGATACACTGAGTGATGTTTTATGTCATTGCAATTCTGATGATTTATTATTTTTAGGAGGGGATTTTAATTGCACTGAGCACATTTTAGATCGAAATCATGTTGAACCGCATATGCTTTCACAAAAGCGGCTCATTCAGCTATTGAAATCGCATGAGATTGTTGATGTTTGGAGAAATTTTCATGGTAATCAAAGGCAATATACATGGGCTCATGCTTATGATAACTTAATTTCTTTAGCCAGATTAGATAGGTTTTATGGTTTCAAACACCAGCTTAGTTTTTTCAGAAGCTGTTCAATTGTTCCAGTAAGCTTTTCTGATCATAGCTTAATACAGTGTGTTGTGTCTTTGAGCTCCATTAAACCAAAAAGTGCTTACTGGCATTTTAATAATAATTTATTATGTGACAACCATTTTAAAGATATTTTTAAAGAATTCTGGAATATTTTTAGAACTACAAAATCGTCTTTCAAGTCTTTACAGCAGTGGTGGGACATTGCAAAAGTGCAGATTAAGCAGTTGTGCCAACAATATACTTGCAACTTCACGAGAGACATAACCTGTTCAATGAAAATTATAGAGAAAGAATTATTAGAACTTCAGGAGATTGCTGATAGTACAGGAAATTTGACCCATTTTGAAACTTTTCATAAAAAGAAAAATTCATTAGCTGAACTTTTAGACACAGTCGCACAAGGAGCTCTGGTCAGATCACGTTTTCAGAGTGTAGAATTGATGGATGCACCCTCAAAAATTTTCTTTAATTTGGAGAGAAAAAAACGGGCAGAAAAGGTTTATTCATGCCTTACGCTCAGAAGCTGGAGCCTTGTTGTCAGACCCTTCTGACATTCGAAGAAGAGCAATTCGTTTTTATGAAGAACTGTACAAAAGTGAACTCGCACATGAACAAACTGATGGTAATGTCTTTCTTAATAATTTACCTCAGTTATCCGATGAAGCTAATGCTGGACTCAGCCAAGCTTTAACTCTGGAAGAGTTGGAAAGAGCTCTCCAAGCTATGGAGTGTGGCAAAGCGCCTGGAGTCGATGGACTGCCAGTGGACTTCTACAAGGCCTTCTGGCCGGAGGTGGGACCGGATCTGCTAGAGGTGCTTGGGGAAAGTTTAGCCAATGGGCGGCTACCCATAAGTTGCCGTAGAGCGGTTCTCACTCTGTTGCCTAAGAAGGGAGATCTGAATGATATTAAAAACTGGAGACCCGTGAGTTTGCTGTGCAGTGACTATAAATAGCTCTCCAAGGTTCTGGCTAATAGATTGAGCGAAGTTTTGGAACAAGTAATCCATCCTGACCAGACCTATTGTGTACCTGGTGGACGAATTTCTGATAACATTTCTTTTATTAGGGATGGTTTGGATTATGGTAAGAGTCTCAACTTAGATTTTGGTCTGGTGTCAATAGATCAAGAAAAGGCCTTCGATCGAGTTGAGCATAATTATTTATGGAATGTTTTAGCTGCATTTGGTTTTAATCCTGAATTTGTTTCTATGTTAAAGGTTTTGTACTGTGAAGTTGAAAGTATATTGAAAGTTAATGGTGACTTATGCGCTCCTTTTAAAGTTTTTAGAGGTGTTCGACAAGGGTGTGCCTTGTCTGGTATGCTCTATGCTTTGCCAATAGAGCCTCTTTTATACAAGTTAAGAACAGATTTGTATGGAGTGTATATTTCAAATTGCTCAAATGTATTTAAATTATCAGCATATGCTGATGATGTTGTTATTTTAATTAATTGTCAGAGAGATGTATATTTGTTGCTTAAAATATTAAAAGAGTTTAAAATGTGTTCTTCTGCGAAGGTAAACTGGTCTAAAAGTGAAGCCATACTGGTTGGGAACTGGTTAAGTGGAGAACCAAACCTCCCAGAAGGTTTAACCTGGACTAAGGAAGGTTTTAAATACCTTGGAGTGTTTTTGGGAAGTGAAATGATTGTACAAAAAAACTTTGAAGGGGTTGTTGAAAAGGTAAAAGGTCGCCTCGACAAATGGAAATATTTACTTCCCAAAATGTCTTATAGAGGGCATACATTGATTATTAATAACTTGGTAGCATCTTCTCTCTGGCATCGCTTAATTTGTGTTGATCCTCCACTAGGTCTTTTGTTAAAAATTCAGTCAATTTTAATAGATTTTTTTTGGGACCAGCTGCACTGGGTTCCAAAAGCTGTTCTGTATTTGCCCAAGGAAGAGGGAGGGCATGGACTTATACATTTACAGAGCAGAATAGCAGCTTTACGACCTACAATTTGCACAGAGACTTTTAACTGGACCAGTGGACTCAAGCTGGAAATCCATAGCTTTTGCAATTCTGCAGAATTTTGAAGGATTAGGCCTGGACAAGCCTTTGTTCTGGTTGAATCCTAAAAAGATGGACTTGTCCAAATTACCCAGTTTTTATCGTAATTTTTTTAAAGTTTGGACTTTGTTTATAGTGCAAAAAGTGGATAATGCAGGTTCCTTATACTGGACGTTACAAGAACCTTTGATTCATGGTTCACGCTTGGACATATCAAGTAAAGGACCTTTCCTGGCACTTGAAGGAATTTTACTCTGTTCTGGTGTAATAACTCTTGGACATCTACTACAGCTAGCGGGAACGGACTTTAAGAATGTTGATCTGGTAGCGGAGCATCTGGGCGTTCGATCAACACGTGTAGTGGCTAAACTCCTTGAAAAGTGGAGGTCTGCTCTTACAACAGAAGAGTGTAAACTGCTGGAAGACTATTCTGAGGGACTCATTATTCCGAACTGCGGAGATCCTTTTCCTAATCTGTTGCTATCACCTAATTTAGAAGAGTGCAAAGGCGTTTTTTTGTATTCTGAAAATGTGTCACTATTGGGTTTAGAGCCGGCATCTGGAAAAGTCTTGTATAAAAGTTGTGTCAAATCTTTGAATAAAAGTTTTTTAGATAATAAAGTGGATACACCCTGGCGTACCATCCTACAGATGGAAGAGGGCATAAACCCAGAATGGAGAGCTCTGTACAAGTCACCATTAACTAAGAAAATAGGCGATTTACAGTGGAGAATATTACATGGGGCAGTTGCAGTTAATGCTTTTATTTCAGTTTTAAACCCTGGTGTTAGTCATGGTTGTCCTTTTTGTTTGCAGAGAGAGACTGTGTTCCATGCATTTATGCAATGTTTTAGACTGAAGTCTTTGTTTATTGTGCTACAGAATTTATTTGTTTGTTTTGGTGAAACATTTTCTGTTGGAGTTTTTATTCGTGGTTTTAAATATGTCCGGAGACACCGATTTCGGTGTCAACTTTTGAACTTTTTGCTAGGCCAAGCTAAAATGGCAATTTATAATACCAGAAAACATAAAATTGAACGAGACACAAGCTATAATTTAGAAGCAGTGTTTTTTAATTCAGTGAAATCTCGAATTTTAATTGATTTTCGATATTTTAAAGCCATGAAGGATCTTGTTTCTTTTGATCAGATTTGGTGCAATAAGGGGGTTTTGTGTGAGATTATTGATGACAACCTGCATTTTGCACCCCTTTTAAGATAATTTTGTCTTGTCTGTTCTGATTTTATTTTAACAATGTGTTAATTGACTGGACATGTGGATAATGGTTTAAATTTTGTAATAAATGGTTTTTGAAATTCAAAATTCTCTCTCTCTCTCTCCCTCTCTCTCTCAAAATCTCTCCATCTCTCTCAAATGAGCTTTATTGGCATGACTTATACAGTATTGCCAAAGCATTGGCCATTACATAGGCAATGAACAAATAATCAATAAATTAATAATGTAAACAAATGCATGAATACATTACATTTATATCATAATGAATCAAAATGAAATATATCAAAATCTCTCTCTCTCTCTCTCTCCATCTCTCTCAATCTCTCTCTCTATCAATTCAATTCAAAATTGCTTTATTGGCATGACTGTACATATTACAATATTGCCAAAGCTTGGAATACATAGAATAATTATGTTATAATAATTATGTTAATTATGTTTCTCTCTCTCTCTCTCTGCGAGTGTGTACGGCTGTGAGCACAGATAACATGCGAGTCCCAATTTTGCCTCTTCTTCCGCATTTAAAATTGTTTGAATGTGTAAATTGGCAAGACAAAACACGTCCAAATGATAAACTTTCACTCTATGGTGGTTAAATTTAGCAGTTAATCCGTGAATCACATGCGTGCCGAAGCGAGGGGCAGCTGGTCCATGCGGATCACGGATCAACTGCGATCCATTGTAAACAATTGATGCGTGTCATTTACATTCGATCCGTGCATTGGTCTAAAAGGACATAATATATCCTCAGCTGTTCGTCACCAATGGTGATCAAACAACAAAAGAGAAAGAGAAAATTCGTTTTGTAGCTTTAACAAAGATAAATTATATTAATCAATAAATTGTATTAGTTATATTTCATTCAGTTATTTTACATTTGATTATTTAATTTCTGTACCTGAATACTGTTAGATTTACCTAAAATACATAAAGCACTGTTTATTTCAATTGTATCTTTCTTCGATTGCATTTTTCTATGCTTATTATTTTCTATCCAGATTCACTCCCCTACAAAATCACACTAATTATTCTAGAATGATTCAAATAGAGCATTTCAAAAATATGGTAATTTAATATTTTTTTCAATATCGTGCAGCCCTAACAGAAATCTTTCGGATTTTAAAGTTTTGAAAAGCTTTGCTGCTCCAATCACAGCTGATTCCATTCATTTTGCCATTTGTTGATAAAGTCAAATGGTAGTTTAGTGTATGATGGGGCACGTGTGTGTTTGGTACCTGTGTGCTGCGCTCCAGAAGCATCAGACAACAGTAGATACAGCGGATCAGAGACAGCAGGAGAGACGACTCCATCACTGACGCCTGATGAAGATGCTCCACCAGCACAGGCAGCGCCTGACATCATCACAATAATCACAGGATAATGCTTTACAATCACCACATGCACAATTATTATCATACATTTATTTTTAAGTGACCAGCTGTTAGAATACTGAAATGTTTAAAGGGGTCATATAATGGTACATGCACTTTTACAAGTTGATTGTAGTGAAATGTGTGTTGGCAGTGCCTGTACACAACCATCATATAATGATAAAAATACATCCAGTGTTTTTGTTTTAATCTCCTTATATGTTTCCCCCTGCCTCAAATCGAGGCGTTCGACCGTGTGACGTCACTAAATCGGAAGCCCCTCCCACGATTGTTGATTGACAGCAGTGTTTCAACACAGACCCGCCCTGAGCGAGCGGTCACCATAGTCCGCTAGTGTTGATACGCTGGAGCAGAATGGCGTCTAAGCGATTGTGGTGTTCTGTTCTTGGGTGTAATAACGAACACAGTCATTTTAATGTTCCTGAATCCGAACCGCTGAAGACGCAGTGGCTGAGTTTGTTTTCGAAGGGAATATTCCCCACGAGCAACGTCAATGCGTTCATGTTTGTGCGAATCATTTCTCAGCAGACTGCTTTATAAACGAGGGTCAGACTCAGTATAAAGCTGGTTTTGCTAAGAAGCTGCTCCTGAAAAAAGGATCGGCACCAACTATTCGTGTCCCTGCTGAACCTCCAGAAGAAGTGAGGGTAAAATTGTATATTTTATATTAATCTTTGTAAATCGCTTGCACGCTTCACGATGAATGCGGCTAAGGTTTATTTATACTCAGGGTAAGTTACATTACGGCATGTTTTCTATGTACGACGTTCTCAATATAATTCATAATCCCACGTTTATAATGAACAACGCGTTATGGTTATTGTGTTATTACAAACTGAGTACGTATACATCAGTAAACACATAGCGTTCGTACATCTCACTAAGTTACTCTAACGTTACCCTGCCAGTACACAAAGATACATCAAAGTGACATTACGTTAACCAACCATTAGAAACGTCCTGTTCGAGTCTTAATTGTCGAACCTCTTTGCGGCTGTTATCTTGTTCCGGGTGCGACTCCGGTTCAAACTGATACGATTGCACAGATGCAGGGCTCTAGAGTGCGATCAAAATTTGTAAGGGTGCGACGGGAATTTTTCCTAGGTCGCACCAGTGCACCTAACGTTCTCGCATCCGCTGCCTCTCCACAAACGAGTCTTTTGTTCTCCTTGCACGCATGGTTGGATCATATCGTGGTCTAAACCAATCAGAGAGAGAGATTGGGCGGGTCTTTGCCTCTGATTGGCTGTGGTTCAGATATTCCTGTAGGACTAAAATGCTCCGTGCTGTGTGATTGAAATAAATTACAACCTGAGCACCAGAGAATCACGGCAATCAGCAGCATCAGCTTAATAAACGCAAGAAAACAGACGAAGAAACTTTAAAAAATGTAGGCTTCTTGAACTAGGTAAAAAATATTGATTTCTCGATTTTAATCGATTCTCATTGATTTTTACGAACCGTTGGGCTATGCTGTTTTCAGTTGATTAATGAATGGAACATTGTAGCGAGCATCCCATCCAATAAATCGCAATAATCCTTGTGCTTTGTTACTATTGATATGAAACAAAGTCTCAGATTTCAAATTAGGCCCATTTTCTTACGAAATTCAAAAACATAAATAGTGTTTTGACGCTGTGGCGTGAGATCGCTCTGGCTCAGCTCTGCTCAAGAGAAGCAGCAGCACGGAGCGCACATGATCTCCTCTTCCGCCTTAATAACACCAGTTACAGCGCGAAATAAACATGAAAGAGCATCTGAAAGTGTGTTAAAAGATAGAGTACAACTTATCGAAATCCGTATCATGTCACATGGAATCGCTCAATCAGTTTCAACCGTGGAAAGACGTCAGTAAAACGCTTGTAAACAATGTCATGTAACGTCACATTTACCTCAGAAAAATTGTGCTTCAAATAATAATAAAAAACTACACCTTATTCTTGTTTAAAAGCATTTACATAATATATATGAATGTATATGGAGCGTGATAAAAAGGTGACCTTGAAATTGTGGCGTTAAAGGCGACGCGAGACGAGGAAAAATTTGAGTGCACCTAAATAAAAAAGTTAGTCTGGAGCCCTGAGATGTGTCCTCAGAGACTCCCGCTGCCATTCTCTCTCCAAAATATACCCTCAACTGTTGTCAAGGCAACACTCCACGTGCGTTGTGTCTAAACGCCCGCAGAACAGAGGGGCGGAGTCAGCGAAGCTCATTATCATTTAAAGGCATATGCACTGAAACGGCGTGCTGAAACCAGCTGTTTTTGACCAGGTAAAATTAGTGTTTTCTTACAATACTAACGAGAATTTTGAATTAAAGTATATTACAAACTTTTCATTTAGACCCTAATGAATCAAAATTAACTTGTATGAAAATGGCATCATATGACCCCTTTAATAAAAATGTGCTGGAGAACCCGTGAACTCAGAATCGACCTTTAAAAGGTTAGTCACCCAAAAATATAAGTTCTGTCATTAATTACTCGCCGTTCCAAACATGCAAGACCTTCGTTCATCTTCAGAACACAAAGCAAGATATTTTCAATGACATTTGAGAGCTTTCTGACCCTCCATTGACAGCAATTTAATTTTTAATTACCACTTTCAAGGCCCAGAAAGGTAGGAAAGACATTGTTAAAATAGTCCATGTGACTACAGTGGTTCAAATGTATCTTATGAAGCAACAAAAATACTTTATTGTGCAAAAAAAAAAAGACTTTATTCAGCAATTTCTTCTCTTCGGTGTCGGTTCTGCGTCAGAATGCCATAAGACATGAACAATGACTAACCTTGGCACATCTCTCAGGCAGTGAAGGGCGTAGGGCGTTCGTGTTCGTGAGGTTTGACCCGTCCCTGACCTCTACGAGCTGACCGTCCACGACCCAATCTAACAGAACCGCCAGCAGCTTCACTGACGGCCCGAGGACAGCGGCCTGACAAACACACAAAGCAACAACCCAGCTTACAAAAATATGCTCTGATGTTCTCAGTTTTGTTGTCGTAATTTTTTCTTGTTTAAGCGAAGATTACCAAAAACATTAATGGTATATTTAATTTGAACATGTTACAGACATTATCGGGACATTAGGTTTTGAATGTTAAACGTTTTGAAACAAGTAGTAATTTTAAAAACATTGGATGAACGTCTAAAAATGTTTAATGAACGATGTATAGATTATGTTAATGCTTTCAGAATGTTATTAAAATCGCGTTCTTCTTCTTCTGAGGTAAATTCAAGGTAAACTTACAGCGTGTCTTCCAAACTCGATGAGAAGCAGAGGACTGATGAAATTTGATGCTTTGCTTCGAGGTGATGGGGGGCGTTTACAGGTCCGAGTTCCTTCACGTGGACGATTAGCATGTGAATCACTCGTGTGCGCGTGCGTGGTCACATCAGAGATAATGAGCACGCGCTTGAGAAACTGTACCTCTCCTTGTTTTCGTACGGATTACTTAAACAAAGAATATTTGTTTTTGATATGAATTACTTAAAGCTGCAGTCCGTACCTTTTTTTGGGTTAAAAATTATCCAAAATACATATTTGAGAAAATAAATAACCAGCCAGTGTTCAACACTCTCTGCTTGCCGTAGCTCGATTCAAAGCAGTAAGCTTGTAATAATGTTTTTAACTCCAGTGGTACTGGTGGATTTCCGCGGGAGATTCGAGCATGTCATTACGTCACATCTGCACACACACATCTGTACACACACATCTGCACACACACATCTGTACACACACATCTGTACACATAAAGAAGAGTCTCGGCTAGTATAAGCTATATTGAGTGTGAGGATGCTGGAGGTGGAGATTTATAGCCTTTTCTCACAGCACTTGATATAATTAAACTTATCAATTTGATGGCGGATCCAGAAAGATTTAAACGACAATCACCAGAGACAACAGATTCACCCGCTGTAAAATGCTAAAGACTTCGTTCGGACTTTGGAGTGGCTAACGTTACAGAAAAAAAGAGACTGCAACCGGCCCATGCGAAAACAAGGATAATATCGGAAGGGCATTACATGTAGTCACGCAATGCTGACGTTGTTAACATTAACAATTTGAGAACAAAGTATAATTTGCACGGTTTTGCGTGATATGATAAGCGATTTTTAGATTTAATCAGCGCGATTTACTACAACGTCAGAACCAGAACAAAAGTGGATGCTTCTTTCTTGTTCAAATGACATTTTCCGGTGAAAATTATTATGTTGGTCATACTTCCAAAAAGTATAATCTGTGATTGCGAACGCCAGTATCGACACCGGCGGGGACTGACAGACACACACTCTCCTCAAACATTGTGTTCATCCGCGCTGTGCCGTGCCGAGGCACAACTCACGTAAAGTTGATAATTCCGCGAATGACTGCAATTCCAGATTTCGAACAGAGATGGCGACAAAGAGGAAAAACTGCGGACTGCAGCTTTAATTTAATAGACACTTCAAGCTTTCTAAAGACGTTTGTCTGTGTGGCAAGAATTCGCTGAGTTACAATTCATTTTCTGTCGCGTTTCAGAATGAACTTCACACTGACAGAGATTTTGTGTTTATTTTCTTTATTTTACGAAAAGCATAACATTTTGTTTTTATTGTGAGTGTACACAAATAAAAGTAGACATTTATCTGATCCCTGGGGGTTAAAGGGGTCATGACATGGATTTTCCTTGAGGTTTGGTAACAAACTATTTTTACTGGAAGAACGTTTGAAAGAACATTGCCTGAATGTTTCGTTAACGATGTTAAAGGAGCTCCACTTATCTTCAGTAGCCACTGCCATTACAGTTTCCCAGCATGCCCGTGACTATTCTGATTGAATGGTCCAATCACAGCACACACTGCATCACACGCTAATTAAATCAAGCCCATGAACTGAGAACAGTGTCGTTGATGGTTTGCGCTTGACTCACCTTTCCTGCTGCTTTATTTGACGGAGGATTTTCTGGTTTGCAGGCTTGGGGAACAGCAGTTTCTCGGCCCCTGTGTGTCGTGAAGGACTCGTACTTTCTCTGTGAAAACAAAAACACACGTCAGGTTTATATTAGTGATGCACGACCTCAAAGCTTCAGCACTTCTAAGTTCAATTGTTCTAAATATATATTCACTACCGATCAAAAGCTTGGAATCATTACACATACGATCTTTAACATCATTTTACATATTTAAAAATAGTTTGTCTTCTTATTTTGAGCTAAATTGTTCATGTTTCAGATGATGATACACCTGTATATAATTTACAAGTCACTATTTTCTTTCTATGTTATGTTATTGCTGGCAAGTATTTGTTCTCAGCCTCTGTGTGGCTGTCAAGTGGTTGTATTCACCTAAATATCTTTTTTCTTTTTTTTGTGGTTATTGTTGTCGTTTTTGTTGTAGTGTGTTGATTGTGGTATTATTTATGTCTTATTATTTTATCGTAATGTGTTTGATTTGTCCCTTGTTCTGTATTTTATTGTAAATTAGGACCCCCTCGAAAACGAGATGGTTCATCTCAAGGGGTTTATCCTATTCAATAAACTTATACAGTATATATCATTAAGATGTTTTAATGTTTTTAAAAGAGACTTTTCTGCTCATCAAGGCTGCATTTATTTGATTAAAAATACAATAAATTGTGAAATATTATTCCAGCTGTTTTCTATGTGAATATATAGTCAAGTGTAATTTATTCCTGTGAATTTACAGCATCATCAGTGTCACATGATCCTTCAGAAATCACTCTAATATGATTATTTGATCCTGAAGAAACATTTATGATTATTATCAACTTTGAAGTTTCATACTGGTTTTGTGGAACCATGCGATACATTTTATTTTTCAGGATTCTTTGATGAATAGAAAGTTTGAAAGAACAGCATTTATTTGAAATAGAATCTTTTGTAACATCACTTTTGATCAATAAAAATGTGTCCTTGGAGAATAAAAATATGAATTACTCTTTTTTTAAAATCTTGCTTACACTACACTTTTGAATGGCAATGTATCATAGTTTCTACAGAAAAACATGAAGCAATAAAAACTGTTTTCAACATTAATAATAATAAAACTGCAAGTGCTCGTCACATACCTGCAGGTTCTCCAGCCGAGCTTGAACTTTCTGAGACTGACATTCCAACTTTCTGTTCTGCTCACTGACCTCATTAATCTGAGCAAACAAACTCGTTACTCATCATCACAGACAGAAACACACACGCAGCACTGAACATCAACACTGCTGAGCCTGTATACAGTATACAGTGTGATGACGACAGACACCAGATTTATCTTACACTGCGAGCGTCTTCTTGCGCTGGAATGTTTAAATCCGCAAGGCTTAAAGGTACAATATGTAATATGATTTTTGTAATAAAATATTCAAAAACGACTTGCACAAGGTGATATATTTCATGCAATTGTGTACTTACATTATCCCAAAAGTTAAAGGGGTCATATAATGGTACATGCACTTTTACAAGTTGATTGTACTGAAATGTGTGTTGGCAGTGCCTGTACACAACCATCATATAATGATAAAAATCCATCCAGTGGTTTTGTTTTAATCTCCTTATATGTTTTCCCCTGCCTCAAATCGAGCCGTTCGACCGTGTGACGTCACACGCTCGGAAGCCCCTCCCACGATTGTTGATTGACAGGATCGTTTCAACACAGACCCGCCCTCGCTCGTGAGCTGTCAATCATAGTCTGCGCGGACCGGCGCGGTCATTGTTGATATGCTGGAGCACTGTCTATGAGCAGAATGGCTCTAAGCGATTGTGGTGTTCTGTTCTTGGGTGTAATAACGAACACAGTCATTTTAATGTTCCTAAATCCGAACCGCTGAAGACGCAGTGGCTGAGTTTGTTTTCGAAGGGAATATTCCCCACGAGCAACGCCAATGCTTTCATGTGTGCGCGAATCATTTCACACACCAGACTGCTTTATAAACGAGGGTCAGTATGAGCTGGATTTGCTAAGAAGCTGCTCCTGAATAAAGGATCGGTACCAGATATTCGTGTTCCTGCTGAACCTCTAGAAGAACTGAAGTGAGTGTAACGTTTTATTAAACTTTATATTAATATTTATATTAATCTTTGCAAATCGCTAGCTGCACGCTTCACAATGAATGCGCCTAAGGTTTACACTTAGGGTACATTACGGCATGTTTTCTATGTATGATGTTCTCAATATAATTCATTGAGATATATAATTTATGGTTATTGTGTTATTGTGTTACAAACGGTGTACGCACAGAACAGAGAGGCGGGGTGAGCACAGCTCATGATCATTTAAAGGCATATGCACTGAAACGGCGTGCTGAAAACAGAGCTGTTTTTGACCAGGTAAAATGTGGTAAGTGTTTTCTTA